TCATATTCCTTCTGTGGCTGAGATGGTCGGTGAGGCAGAGCTGGGAGCTGGCCTCTAGTAGGCCGGTGGGCACTAGGACCCCCACATGGGGGCTTTGCAGTGTGTCTGCTGGTGCCCCCAAAGGGGCTTTGCATAGGGGGAGGCAGGTGACTCCCATTTCCAGGTGTGGGGCTCCCTCAAGCCCACAGCTCAGGGAGGGCGGGGGACCTGGAAGTGGCTTCCTAACACCAGTCCTGCCCACTCCTCATGAGTCAGCCCTGGGCACAGGCCTGAGTCCCGGCCTCAGCTCTGCCCCATCTCACCAGCACCTGCTTAGCCTCAGCTCCACATCTCTGTAATGAGGAGTCCGATGGGCTGACGTCCAGAAGCAGAGGTGGAAGGGAGGTCCCAGCGCTCCCTTCCAGGTGTCTCCAAAAATGTCCCTGTCCCCGCCACACGCCAGGAGGGGGGGTGTCGGAGCTGTGCCCTGGGTGGCAGCAGGGTGAACAGCAGCCTTCCAGGGACCTGGGAATCTCTCCAGCACATACACACACAGAGCCGGGAAAACTAGCAGGGAAACCAGAGTGTTGATAGCCGCTGCCGGGCGTAGCAGTTCATGCCTGTAATTCCAGCATTTTGGGAGGCCAAGCCAGAAGGATGACTTGAGCTCATGAGTTTGGGACCAGCCTAGGCAGCATAGCAAGACTCCACCTCTATTAACAGAAAAATATTAAAAAGAAAAATATATATACAACAGCCACTCATGGCTGGCCCCTTCTCCAGCCTGGAGACGCGTTTACAGTGGGGTAAAATAGCTGGTGTCACTTGACCCTCCCCGCAAATGGTCCCAGATGGCTGCATAACGGCCTCATTCCCTTACACTTCTAAGCCGGGATGAGCAGACTCACACCATAGCCATGCAACCCCAAAACCATGAGGTGAAACTCACCAGAAAGCCAGTCCCAGCTCCCACGCACAGCTGTGGGGTCAGCAACTTCAGTCTGAAGGTGCTGCTGTGAAACCCAGCATGACAGACCCTGGGCCAGTGAGAGGAGGAAGACACCCGGGCAGCTGGAGCGGGGGTCTCGAGCTGTGAACGGTGCCCAGAAGGGACCGCCCACTCTCCCTCCCGCCAGAGCCTCCCTGAGGCGGACATGCTTGGCAGATCCTGGCTCCAGGCCCCCCCCCTAGGGATCACGGTCCCCCATTTGCACCCTTGTGGGACCCTCAGCACGTCACAGCTGCCTCAGAGCTCCTGAGCCCACCGTCCCGCCCCTGAGTGAGGCTGCGTCCCTCCCAGGCTGTCGTGGGCTCATGTGGACAATGTGGAGCACTCAGCCCAGGCCAAGGCTCAGGGGATCCTTCATGACCTTGACAGCGTCCTCAAGGCCACAAGTGACAAACTACTTGTGCTGGGAAACAGAGAAGTCACGTCCCCTCCTGGCCCTACTGGCTGTGCGGAGTCACTCTGGACGCTCGGTGAGACTTCTCGGGTCTGCAGGGGCCGAGGGGCAGGAAGGAGCCAACCCGTGCCCAAGACTCAGGTTCCAAGGGGGTCTTGGGCTACCCAGGGAGGAGGGCTCAGGATACCCCAGCACAGCCTCCACCACAGAATTCTGTATGCATTGCTTCCACACTCTGGGGTCCGGGGTAAGGATCAGGGTGAACAGCGGACCTTGAAGCTTATGAGAAAGAAAAACAGGCCAGGCGCAGTGGCTCACATCTACAGTCCCAGCATTGTGGGAGGCCAAGGCAGGAGGATCACTTCAGCCCAGAAGTTCGAGACCCCATCTCTATAAGAAAATTTTGTTTAATTAGTTAGGTGTGGTAGCGCACACCTGCAGTCCCAGTTACTCGGGAGGCTGAGGTGGGAGGATGGCTTGAGCCTGGGACGTGGAGGTTACAATGAGCCAAGATTGCGCCACTGCACTCCATCCTGGATGACAAAGCAAGACGCTGTTTAAAAAAAATTTTTCTTTTAAAGTAAGAAAGAAAAAGAAAGTTTAGGGGATGCTGGCTTCAGGCTGGGTGCCTGCCTGGGAGCCTAGAGGTGGGGTCAACCCCATCCTTCCTCGGATAAAACGTGAAGAGGTGGAGGGAAGAGATGGGCATCGGGGAGCCTTCCAGATCAGACACTCTGGGATCCTAAATTGGAGTCAGAGCTCACATTTTGGGTGGTCCGCTTCCTGGAGACCTGGACCCAGTCTCCCATGTCCCCCACATCCCAGCACATCCCAGCTCAGGGCTAAGGTGGAAACAGGAGCAGCATGAGGAGTCCAGGGCTGAAACAGAAACAGACACCATCCTGCAAGCACTCCCGTCCAAACCAGTCCGGAGCAGGCAGCTATTCTTAGTGCACAGGGACCCAAAATTAAAACAGAGGAAGCGCCAGCTCCCTCAGCGGTTTGGGAACTTCCCTGAATATAAGGTTCCAGCCACAAAAATCCCACAGCCGGGAGTGACAGGGCGTCAGGGATGGCGGGGGGAAAAGGCTTATGCAACACTGGCCAGGTGCGCCCTGAGGGGACGGGAACTGCTGTGCCCTCTTCCTGCCTGAAAACCACTCTGGCCCCTCTCGGAGGGAGGGCGTCTCAGAGGATCCCTCCTACGTGGTGAGAGAGGCCTCCCGGTGACAGCGACGGCAGGAGTGAGCAGGTTCTGATGGATGGAAGGGCGAGAGCGTGGGACGCACCAGGACTCCTCCAAGAAGGCTGCACATCACCTGGTCTGTGTACCGGGGCATCCTCGGCAGCACAGCAGACCTGGGCCCATGGTGGGCACCCAAGCAATGCCCTATAGGTGCATGAATGAGGATCTCATGGGGTGCAGAGCCTGATGAAACATCGGCCCCCAAAGACTGTGTGGAATGCGCCATCCAGAAAACATGACAGCCAGCACTGCCATGGGGCCGAGACAGGCCTGCCCTGACAGGACACCGGCTCTCAGCCGGCCCTGGACCATCAGATCCTTGTTCCCCAGGCAGACGCCACACTCCCAAGAGGGAAACCCGCAGCTGAACTTCTTATCCAAGCTCACAGGGCTCCGTCCTAAACCATCCCATGGGACCCTCCTCAGGCCTCCCCTCAGGCATCCTGGAACTTCGGCTCCCTCCTTACGAATCACACCTACCCAGGCTGACCTTCCCAGAGACGGCAAAGCCCCCAGAAGACACCAGACCGTTCAGCTCCTGCCACAATCACCAGGTTGGCCTCGAGCATGGAGTGGAGGGAATCGTCCCAGGTAGGGGACGGAGGAGAGGCCAAGGGACCCTGGCTGCACCCCACCTGGCTGACCCCCTTCTTGGCTGGGCTGGAGCCCGGGAAACCAGGCCCCGAAGGAGAGCACACATTGTCCGGGGTTGCCCTCAGCAACAAACCCACCACTGCCAGGTTCTGCTGTGTCACCCCCAAACAGCTCGGAAGAACCCCTGGCTCAGCGGTCACAGCTGGGTAAGGACAGAGTGGAGTGGCGCAGCCCCCCAAACCGCAGGTGCTGGCTCCTGGAGGCCTCTGCCAAGTGATGGGACAGAAGGAGCTGAGGACGAGACCTGAGGCCCTAAAACCCAAGCTATGAAGGAACCCCAAGACCATGAGAAGACCCCAAGACCATGAAGAGAGCTCTAGACCATGAGATGACCTCCCAGACCACAAGGGGAACCTCAAACCATAAGGGGACCCCCAGATCATGACAGGACCCCAAACTATGAGAGGATCCCAAGGCCATGAGGAGACCCCCAGACCACAAGGGGACCCCAAGCTATGAGGGTACCCCAGACCACTGTGGCAGGCCCAGAGCCCTCATGGCCACACAGGCTGCTGTCTGCCCTCACTGCATGGCCCCAAGCCGGCCCAGGGAACCAGGTCCACATTAGCTCTGGTCATTGCTGCCCTCAAGCTCCCACCATGGCTCCCATGCACTCTGACAGCATGGTTCCTGCAGAGGCTGCATGTCCTCAGCCTGAGCTGTCCCTGCCCTCTCTGGATGACACCTCACTGCCCCATCCGGGAAGGTCTCCTCATACACACACGCTCCACAGCCCTGGCCCAGGCCTGTGGTGCTGTTCCTCGGCCCCAGCACTTCTGGGCCACTTCCGGCACTTGGGCATCCTGCCCCAAGGTTCTGCCCTGCGGCGGGGCGGGGGTGAGGGTGTCTCTGAGGCCTCTCCACAGAACAGCAGCGCCGCCCACTGCTCTGTCGCCTCCACCCGCTTCTTGGTTTGGTCTTTCTCCACAGGCATCGCCCTCTGGGGCTGGGTGTTCACGGCTGCCTCCCCCAGGACAGTACTCCTACTGCCCTGCCTGTGTTACCCATGGACTCATACCCAGAACAGTGCCAGGCATGTGGGCTGTGTGAAGGGAGGGCGTGGAGGGTCTCCTCTCCCTGGAAAGGGTGCTCCCCACCCCTGAGCTCACCTCCAGGAGCCCTGCAAACACCAGCCAAGGCAGCTGAACCGGCCCACAGCCCCCTGGCCGCCCACAGCGGGCTACACAGGAGCACAGGCATGCCCACGCGTGTGCACACAACACACACAGTACAGGGGATGCCGCTGAGACTCGATTTGGCTGCATATAAGAAAAAAAACCAAAACCCCGAGAATCAGTCCCCACACACAGGAAGCCTGGGGTGAGCCACCTGCTGTGTCAGCAGGGAACCACGCTCCTCATACCTCTGCTCCGCTGCCACCGTGGTGAATGGGTTTCATGCTCAAAGTCACCTCCTGGCCCAATATGACAGCTGGAGCTCCAGCCAACACAACCACAGTCCAGACAGTGGAAAGGAGAAAGGGGAGGAAGGTGAAGGGACCTCCCCAGTCACCTGCCTGTCTTCTAAGAAGCCTTCCAGAATCCTTCCAATGCTTTCCACTCCTCTCTCAGGCCAAATCTTTCAGGGAGGCTGGGAAATGTCTTTTCTCCAGGCGCACCCCCTCTTTGAATAGAGCTAGGGTTCCTGGGGACACCTGGCTGAGGGTGGGCATTGGTCCTCTCTGGCCCTGGGCAGCCTTGTGATCGGGCACCACTCACCATGAGGATGCGCCGGTAGCTGTCCCGGTCTATCCCCCAGAGCTTGAGGTCTGTCTTGGCTTTCACAGTTGCAGCCCTGGGGGTGCCGTAGATGAGCGCCAGCTCCCCGAAGCTGCCTCCCTCGCTGATGTTGGTCACCCACTCTCCGTTCACGTACACCTTCGGGAAGCAAGAGAGAGAAGCGTCATGGGGGCCAGGCAGGGCGATCTCTGCACCCCCAGCAGAAAACCCCTCTTAGCTCTCTCCAGAAGGGGGTCCATGCAGGGTGGGGCACAAACCCTTTTGCTTGTGGGTGGAACTCCGCATTCCCCAGCAATGGGCCTGTGGATGCCAGGGCCCGCCCCACCCCCATCCCCACCCCCACTCAGAGCCACAGTGGGACCATGGGACCACATCAGACCCCCAAGGCAGGAGGGCCCCAAGCTGCCAGTGCCGATGAGACAACCGCACCAGAGGCAGAAGCACCCTGGCCCTGCTCTGCAGCACAACGGCCTCAGCCTGCTTCCTGGGCAGTGTCTGATTCCATTCATCAACTTTTCACTTGGCCTCCCTGTGCCTCAGTTTCCCTAGCTGCACCACAATGAGTTGGAGCCTGTGATCTCCACAGGGCTCTACTCTGGGGCTCTGTCTACTTCCTCTCCTCTCCAGGGCATTCCTCTGTCCCCACCTCCATCGGCACATGCCACTGGGCCCAACGGAGCAGGGCTGCCTCAAGTGCAGACCTCTCCTGCCAGGGCCTCCCTTCCTACAGGCAGTGCCTGAGCTCCTAGGGCTGGAGTCTGAATGGGCGCCCTATGGCTGGACACCACTGCTGAGCTGCTCCTGAGAAGGAGCCCAGACAAGATTCCCTTTCAGCTCGCGTGGGCTACCGCCCCCACACAGGGCGCCTACTATATGCATTGACCATGCACAGTCGGTGTCCGTGCAAGAATAGTGCAGATTGTTTATTATGCCGTGATTATGCAGATTCGGTTACTATAAATTGACACAATACTCACTTTATCCCCTCAGTGTGTCAATGAGCTTAAAGAATAGTTCCCATTGCCAAAGCAGTTCCCACTGGTTGCGTATCGGGAAAGAATGGATTGCGATGAATCATGGAATCAATTCTTATTGAAATCAATGACTCATTATCTGGATAATAACTGAGGCACAGAGTCTTCTATCTGAAAGAAAACGCCACGCAGGTGGGACTCCACAATTAGGTGTAAGTGAGGGCTGGAGAGAACTGGTCCACCATGAGGTTTCAGGGGCATGGGGACGACCGCTGTGCAAAGGCAGACTCCGCCTGGGGGAAATGTGGAGCAGTTTGCGTCCATCTCCACCTGGCCCACCAGGCTCCCCAGTTCCTGGAGGGAGGCTGCAGCAGGATTATGGAGCAGAAGAAACACCAGCTTCCCCCCAGTGATCCCCTCCAGGGATCAGAAGACAGCTCCTTCCACGGAGCCAGAGAGTGTCCACTTGTGTGTGCAGGGATATGTGGAAGGGGCAGCAACTCCAGTGTTTTAGGGGCAAGGGGACCTCTGAGAATACCCTCCAGAACCTCTGCCTCTTGCTTCTCAAAGGGGACCCAGAGCTGAGGGAGGGCCAGCAATGAAGCTAGGGGAGGGCCGGCAATGGCCTGGGCACAGCCTGGCCTCCCACCTCACAGCAGACACTCCCACTTTGCCTGTGTTTTTGTGACCAGTTTATAGAGACATAACTTGCAAATAAGAACGGGCCTGACTCAAGTGCGCAGCATGGTGAGTTTCACATTGCTTATACAAGGACCCCCAAACTCCCAGGGGACTCTTCCCCAGAGGGATCGGAGCTCATCCTGTGAGTCTCACAGTGTCTATCCGTGCAGCGGGTGATGGACTCCAGGGTGCACAGCACATCGTGCTGCCAGGAGCATCCCCATTTGTGACGTGCATACCTAGGGTGGCACTGGCTGCTGGCTCAGCTTCAGCAGGCATTCTGCACTAAATGCCATCGCCTTCCAGCACCCTCTGCACAGAACACTGTTCAACAGGGGCGCCTCCCTCCAGCACCCTCCCAGCTAAACACTGGCACCCTCTCTCCACCACCCTCCAGGCTAAACACGGTTCCAATGGGGGCACCTCCATCCAGCACCCTCTGCACTTCTGTTCCAATGCAGAGGCCTCTTGCTGAGTCACAAAAGCAGTGTGAACTCAGAAGATGTAAACTTGAGGTCGGGAGGGGTTTGCTTGACACAAGAGAGCCAGGGAGGTGGGTGACATCTTGTGCCTCAGGAGGTGGGTGAGCCTCTTGGCCCCTTTAGAAAATGAGGACACCAACCCCTCGAATGGCTGCCCAGGCAGGTGGCAGAACACCCCCATCCCCTGGCAAAGAGCCTGAGAGCCTGGGGGTCCTGGGAGCAGAGAAGAATGGGTCTCCACAGAGCCAGCCCGGGATGGCTGCAGCTCCCACCTTTCTGGGGTTCAGCCACCAAGAGGGGTCCATGGTTGCCGTGGCTGCAGGCAGGACCCAGGGAAGCTGGGCCAGGACATGCTGCCTATGAGTCCTGGAGAAGCCCAAGGCCTCCAAGCGCTCCCTCCGAAGCCTCAGAGGAAACCATTGTGCGGATCCCGCAGACAGCCAGGGCCGCACTGTGCCCGGCGGCCCAGAGGACAAAGGGGCCATCCTTCTCAGGACACTGGCCTCTGTCACCACTCCCGGCACAGTGCGGGCCCCACCCCAGCTGGTACGCAAAGGGGCTACTGCTCGTTGTGGCTCATTTTTTTTTGTTTTCTCTTCTTCTTTTAAAAGAAAGCATGATGGGGGCCCCCGCGGGGCAGCATTTACACCCCACCATCACTGTGGCTTCTCTGGCGCAGCGCCCAAGCTCACACCCGGTTCTGCCCTGCTCCCCTCCACCTTCCCTCGCTCGCCCTGTGTGTTTAGAAGCAGATAGTGGGGCGGGGGTACCATGGGCCAGGGGAGGGGCACGGGCAGGGAGTGTGTCATGGGGACAGAGGCTCGGTTCAAGAAGACGAGAACATTCTGGACATGGACAGTGGTGATGGTTGCAACACATCATGAATGTGCTTAATGCCACTGAACTGCATACTTCAAAATGGTTAGAACAGCCAACGTTGTGTGTCTTCTACTACAATTAAAGTAGGACTGAGGGCAGTGACTCACGTGTCATCCCAGCCCTTTGGGAACCCAAGGAGGGAGGATTGCTTAAAGCCAGGAGTCTGAGGCCAGCCAAGGCAACATAGCAAGACCCCATCTCTATAAAAAAATTAAAATTAGCTGGACATGGTGATGAACAGCTGTAGTCCCAGCTTCTCGGGAGGACTGTGTGAGCCCCGGAGCTCAAGGCTACAATGAGCTATGATCACGCCACTGCACTCCAGCCTGGGCGACAGGTCGAGACCCCATCTCAAAAAAATAAAAAACAAATTTTAAAAACACACCGAACACAAGACACATCCTGGATAACATCCAACCCTGACCCCAGGACCAGATCACCAAGCTGGGGTACCCTGCTCCGGGGGTACACCCAGCTGCCTGGTGGTGCCTCTCTGGCCCCCCAGAAACAGTTCTTCCCCAGATGTGTTGTGTGGAACTGAGGGCAGCCCAGGATGGCAGACGTCAGCATGGACCACAGGACGCCTGGGATGGGGGCAAAAGGAGGGCGTCCCGGAATAACAGGGGCCTGAAAACAATCAGGGGAGAAATTAGCCCCAAACAGGGCTTGAAAGGAAGCTACGTTCCTGGGCCCGTGAAGTCGGCAGCTGAGTGTCCTTTTAAGTAGAAATGCTATGTTCCATGAATAAAATAAATTGGAAGATATTTTTATACTTAGAAAAATGGATTATAGCTCTTGGCAACACACAGACGGCAGCAGGCACTTTCAGAGTCTCTGGAAAACCACAATTTAAACCAAACCTGGTGCTGTTGGCATTTGGTCACCTGGCCATCCCCTGGGGCGCTGCTGGTCAGAGGGCAGTGTCCACCCTGCAGAAGTGGGTGATGTCCACCCCCAAGCCCTGCTGGTTTAAAGGGCCAGGGCCGGGTCCTCAAGGGGATGGCTTCCCACTGGCCCTTGGGCACTTGGCCACCACAGCCGTCTGTCCTTTCCCGCCACCTGGATTAAACCAGGGTCCCACTCTTCTCAGGAACCCACTCGGGCCCTGGATAGTCCTAGTTCTGCAGCCACGAACCCAGGTACATCCATCCCATTGCCCCAGGGAGGCAATTTACAGAAACCAGCAAACAAAATGCAGTGCCCAGGGCTCACACAGCAGCTGTACTGAGCTGCCTGGGGCTGCCATGCAGCAGTTCCCCCAGGCGCTGTAATAACAGTAATTATTATAATACATGTGTCCATAACTCACCCCTGCTACCCGACATGGGACTTTTTCATTCCAGATTCCTTACTGAGCATCCTTTGATTCCCTTAAATGTGGCCTTCACCCACATGGCCCCTGCGTGTTTACCCGGCACGGGAAGGGCCTCCCACATCACAGGAGGCCCTGCAGGCAGCTCCTGTGCCCGGCCCCACCCAGCCCCGCCAGGCGCTCCCCGCTGCCCACCCTGCCCCAGCTGGAAAATCTGAGATTAATGGAGGTACTCGGCGTTCGTGCACAGCCGCCAGGGACTCGAGAGATGGCCCCATAAGTCACAGCCCATCCCCGCGGGAGGCCCGGCCGTCCCATGCTAGACTGTAGCCAGAAAGCGGGCATCCACCCACGGGGCCCAGACATCCTGGCTCTGGTGGGCTGGGTCCAGCAGGGGCCTTAAAGCTGCCTTTGTGCCTGACCCAGGGGCCAGGGAGGGGGCAGGAATGGGGCAGGGGGAGGAGGAGGGAAGGGGAGGGATTTGCCAGGACAATATATTTGGGAAACTCCAGTTACACAAAGGTGATCTCACTCTTTCCTTTCACAAAATTGCCTCCCAACGTCCCCAGGCCTTGCGAGAAGCCAGCCAGGATGCCACAGCGAGCTGTGTCTGAGAGAAAAAAAGCCTCCCCACCTCCACACGGGCTTCAGCCGAAACTCCATGCTGACCAGGCCCCATCTGGGGTTGGGGCTGGGGCTGGGAGGGGACCCTGTGAGCTTAGGGCTTGAGGAAAGGTTCCCTGCTTTGAAGTGGCCCAGGACAGGCCTCTACCACCGCCCCGTCATGTACGAAGGAGTTACAGACAGCGGGTGCCAGCGCAGCAGGGCAGGCTTGTCCTGCTGGAAGGATGGAGGGAAGTGGAGGGAAGGGAGATGCCTCGCTGAGTCCAGAGGTGGAGAGGCAGGCAGGGATTCTGTGAGGAGGAGGAGGAGCTCCCTCCAGAGTTCCAGGTTCGCCAGGACAGCAGCACCTCCTGGCCCCTTTGCCGTGGTCCTGGCCCAGGTGGGGCTCCAGGGAGCCTTGAGGCCAAGAACGGAAAGACGGGCATGATTCCTCCGGCAGTCACAGCCCCCGGGCCCTCACACCCTAGTCTCTCCTAGGAAGGTCCTCAGCACACTGCTGGCTGGGGCCTGGCACTGGGGCAGGAGAGTGGCCACCAGCACCGGGGATTAGGACAAGGCTATTCGTGGGTGGAGGGTGTTTCCTCTGAGAGGTGGACAAGGCTCTTGTGAGTGCATTTGTTGGGGACGTGAGGTGGGGTGGGCTGCAAGGTGGCCAGCGGGTTCCTGAATGAAGGGACACAGGAGCTGCATGGACAGAGGCCCCGTCACCCCACACTAGGTGCTGTGAGCGGAGCCTTAGGAGGATTATCTCAGAGTCTTCCCGGCAGCTGCAAGCTCTGTTCAGTTCTCTGAGTAATATGGAAATGGCACAACTCAGCGACACAAGGGCCTGGGCAAGGTCATGGCCAGCAAAGAAAAGAGCCTGGGTTCTCTGAGCCCCAAGTCCATGTGCTCCTGAGCCATCCACCACTCTCCTCGAGACACTGGTTAGGAGGGGACAATTAGGCAGGAATACCCCTGGGGAGTCCCAGGTGGGCTTCAGGCTCCGTGAGGGAAATCTGGGTAAAGGGTTTGTCTCTTCCACAGCTGCTCATTTAGGAGAAGCAAAGAGCACGGAAAACAGAATTCCTGGGGGTGGCCTCAATCCCAAGACCTGCTAATGCAAACTGGCACCTTGAAGATGCCATTGGAATTTATTTGGAAGATTTAAATGACATCAGCAGACACAGGAGAGGGAGAGGCATTCCACAGGGAAGTAAAGGCCTCAGTGGAGACCTATGAGGCTCCCAGGCCCACTGAGGGGAGGCCTGATCCTCGATCATTTGCTGAAGTCAGTATCTATCAAAGCCCAGCAGCACACAGATGAGCTGGGACTGGTGGGGTCTTATGGGATGTGTAGGAGTTCGTGAGGCCAAACAGGAATGAGAGCAGAGGGGACAGGAGAGGCAGAACCACAGTCAGGACATTCATTGGCTAATTTGCTGTTCTTGGTCCCTCTCCCCCATTAAGCCACACCCTCCCCCACACCAGGGCAGGCACCAGGTCCTCCCCCTCACAAGTGCCAGACACAAAGCAGGCACTCAATAGACATCCAGGAAGGAGAAGGCAGGAGAGGAGGGGACACAGTGACTCCAGGACCCAGAATGGAGAGGGCAGGGGAGGAGAGGACATCAGGACCCAGAGTGGAGAAGACAGGGGAGGGGACACAGTGACTCTAGGACCCAGAGTGGAGAAGATGAAGGAGGAGGTGACAGGGAGACACCAGGACCCAGAGTGGAGAGGATGGGGAGGGAGGTGACACAGTGACACCAGGACCCACAGCATGAACTGGAAGAGGAGCTGTGAGCAGCATGAGATTTAGGGCTGGGTAGAGTGAGTCCAGTCGGGAACCCACCTACCCCCACACCTCCCACGGAGGCAGCTCTGCCCTCAGCACTGCTGACCACTAGGCAGGCCTGGGCTGCCAGGTCTCTCTGGGATCAGCCCTGCCCCTTCTGCTGGGGGTTGAGCCCCATTCCCTGCAACCCCCCACCAGACCCTGATGTCTGGACTCGGGGCACAACGGGGCCACCCCCTGGGACGGGCCCAGGCCCCAGGACGATGCCCAGCTGGGACGCTGGCCGCATCCTCCTCTGTCTTCTCTATTTCCTGGGCTAGGCTTTTTTTAAACCCAAAGCAAAGCCAGCAGGAGATGACTCTGTGGCCTGGCATCTGAGCCCAGGATTGACCCGCCGCGCCGCCCTCCAGCCTTCCCCTCCACACTTCCTCTGAGGTCAGGCAGTCCCTGGGACCTTTGGCACCTGCCTAAGTTTCCATCTTTGGAGGAGACAAGAGCACCCTCACTCCCCAACACAAAGGTCTGCCCCAGAGGCCCAGTCTAGGGCCTCAGCTGTGGGTTCCAGCTCAGGGCGAAGAGAAACCTGGTTCTTCCTCTGCCTGGGCAGGCCGGGCCGGAGGCACGTGCCCCTCATGGGGAGGTGGGACCCCTGAGTCATTTCCTGTGCTATCAGCTCCGGAAGCAGAGTGGGGCAGTTCAGGTTCCCAGAAAAACGGCAGTGATGGGGGACAGACACCACGGCTGCCATGGAAACGAATGAGTAAATGGCCTCCCCAGAATAGCGTGGTTCCTGGACAGACGCACAGCCACCGGAGGCCAAACCTCGAGACAGTTCATGCTGGGCACCAGGGGGTGGCATCGCCTATACAGCAGAGTGCAGAGGCCGAGTCCTGGGGCAGGTGGATGAGGAGAAGGGCATGCAGGCACCCCAGACGCGAGCAACTGAGCCAGCCTGGGAAGCAGTGGCCGTCTCGGGTATCGCAAACCCCCAAAGCGCCCTGCACTGGGGGCTTCCAGTCCGTGCAGAAAGGCCATAAGGAGATGGTCTCATGAAACATCATCACCATGAGCTGCAGAGGGTCCTGTGAGGGAGGCGAGGGACATGTCTGCTAATGCCTACGGGGAAGTGACATTTAGTAGAGAGCAAAAGGGGTTCCCAGCAGAGGGGGGAGCACACGTCGAGGCCCTGGGGCAGCCAATGCAGGCAGATTCCAGGAACTGAGGGAAGATGGTGTCACTGAGGTCCTTCCCCGCTGACTGCGGGGAAGTCAGAGGCTCCGGCCTGATTCAAAGGGAAACAGACTCCTAAGGGGTGTTTTCCCAGAGACTGCACCATTAGCTCTGTGCACCGGCAAGGTCAGGCTGCCCCACAGGGGCGGCCTGCAGAGCAGGAAACCAGCGGGGATGAGGGGCCTCAACGCCTTCACACCAGGGCACCAGGGCTCTGAACCGGACGCCGGAGAAGATGTGAGTCAGAGGCTCTGGAGAGGACCCGGCTGTGGGGCCTGGGGTGATGCAAGTGTCCCGGCCCAGCCACAGGGCACGAGACAGGATCTCCAGGGGAGGGGATGCCTCTCCTTCCAAAACAGTGGGAGCATCTCATAAAAGTGTGGGTCCCTTTAGTCTTGAGGCAAGCATGGTAAGATGACACAGTGAGACTTGACTCACGACTTGGGCACTCTGAGTGGGGAGCCAAACGTGGGTGCAAAAGGCAGCCGTCATTTGACTGTGAAGTCATTGGTCCTATGGGGTCTGGAAGCACATCACTCTCCCACCCACTTTGAGATGTTAACATCCCATGTGGTGGGTGAGCCTGGTGTATTCACTGGCCTTGGATCTGGAGACACTGTTAGGTCAAACAGAACCCTGGCCAGCACCCAGCAATCCAGCTCAGGAAAAGCAAAACAGCATCCCTGAGCCACACCTGCCAGCATCGCCCTCGTTTCACTCTGCACTTTTGATATCCCCATCTTCTCCTCTAAGTGGCAGGAATCACTTTTCTGGATTAAAACATCAGAAACACTGCATTCAGGATGCGCTGTTGGGAACCTGGCACTGCACAGAGGATAAGTCTTCAAACTGGACATGCAAAGACGCACTATTTTCTAGAGAGAGTCAGCTATACTCACATCGGCTTCTCCTTGATCAATTACATAGAAGTTGTCTCCTTCATTCCCTGTAACAAAAGAAGAATGACAATAGATACAAAGTACATCAACACATACAAGTTACAGAGTTTCGCTTATAAACAACTTTGCAACACTGTTGCATAGACCCTTGTCAAGCAAAATCCTGGGTGTAGTCAATTCTTTTTTTAATGACAAGAACATTATGGAAACATTGAGTTAACTTGCTAAAGATCCTCTTCTTAAGTTTCATTAGTGAACTTTCTTGAACTTTCTCTAGACAATGAGAGTTGGTTTTTATTTTATTTTTTTTTTTCTGAGATGCAGTCTTGCTCTGTTACCCAGGCTGGAGTGCACTGGTGCAATCTCAGCTCCCTGCAGCCTCCACCTCCTCGGTTCAAGCAATTCTCCTGCCTCAGCCTCTGGAGTAGCTGAGATTACAGGCGCCTGCCATCACACCCAGCTATTTCTTTTTGTATTTTTAGTAGAGAGGGGACTTCACTATGTTGGCCAGGCTGGTCTCTAACTCCTGACCTCAGGTGATCCACCCACCTCAGCTTCCCAAAGTGCTGGGATACAGGCATGAGCCACCTTGCCCAGCCTAACAATGAAAGTTTTATACATGTATGTGTGTATGTATGTGTGTGTGTGTGTGTGTGTGTGTGTATATATATATATATATATAATTGTATATTACTTTATATTTAGTTTTATACATATATATTTTTTATTGTTACTTTGTATTTAGCTTTACAGATATATGTATCTTTTATACATACACATGTGTATACATGTATGTGTATACATATAGTGCATATATATGTACACATGTGCATATTAAATGTGTGTGTATAAGTGTGTGTATATATATGGAGTGCAACATTGGGCTCTCAGCTCACTTCAGCCTCCTCCCAGATTCAAGCATTTCTCCCTCAGCCTCCCAAGTGGCTGGAATTACAGGCACCCGCCACCATGCCTGGCTAATTTTTATTTTTAGTAGACAGGGCTTCACCCCATGTTGACCAGGCTGGTCTCAAACTCCTGACCTCGGGTGATCCACCCACCTCAGCCTCCCACAGTGCTGGAATTCCAGGCATGAGCCATCTCACCCAGCCTTATACTTTTTTAAGTGCATAGTCCATTTTCCCCCTCTGGGCTTTGGCTCTGAGAAGCAGGCAGAACGTACCTTGCTGTATAACCGTCTCCCCAGCGATGTGAGTAACAGGAAACATGGCATCGAATATGTCACTGAAAAACAAAACACGCCAAATGAGGGCTGCAGGTGGCACAGGGTCATTTAAACCCCTCCTCCCCTCACTTCACAGTCCGGTTTAAATCACTTCACAGTCATCAGGGAAGACAAGAAAATCATCAGAGTTCAAAGAAGAAAATCAAAACCCTTCATGACCTTAGGTCCAGAGATGACGCTGTGAGCCCCAGCCCCGTTGCAGTGGTGTGCACGCACACAGTTTGCTGTTTTGCTTTTTATAGAAATAGATCACACTATACATGCATTTTGAACTCCATTTACAAAAACAAAAGTAACACTAGATTGTGAACATTTCTCCCATCCGTAAATACAGTTCTACTAGAATACAACCAAAAATAATGATGACGTGTTTTCTGCATTTTTTTCCTTCCAGGGAGAACACTTTCAGTTGAAGGGGAACCCTGGGGCCCTTGACACAGAAGTGAGATGTGCGTTCAGAGCCTCTGTGGAAAACACAGACACTTTGTGACAAGCAAACTCGAAGCCGGTGAGGCCGAATCAAGGCTGTGCCAACCGAGCAGTCTGGCTTTCTGATGTTCCAAATCTAGACGTGAAGTGGACCATGCAAACAGGATCCAAGGGGCATGGGGGAGCTGGCAGAGGCACCCAGGAAAAGTGGAGAAGCACCTGTCAGCCAGGAAGTTGAGGAGCACCTGCCCCAGAACATGGTGGTGGCAGCCTCCTGCCTGCCCTCATGACTTAAAACGGAGATTCTTGGCAACATTTGCCATGCACAGGTGCTCCCTGACTCCCAGGGCTGGGGGCTGAGCTACTCAGGAAACAATCCTGAAATCAAAGGTCCAGACAACCCTGACCCTCCTGATTCCAGGGTCCATAAATAAGTCATTCTTAAAATAGTGGTTGTTTTCTCTCTATTTAAGAAACGCTTCTTTTCTGAGTCCTTGTTCCCAACTTCACTGGCAACCCAGTTTCCTGTTTCCTCCGAGAGGGGGGAAGAACTATAGGAAGGGTCAGTGAATAACAGGGCTAGGGGAAAGTCTGGGGGCCTCCACTGTCTTCTCACCTGGGGAGTGGACAGTGGGTGCCAGGGCTGGGGCACCAACTGTGGCAGGACTGGGGGAGACCTGGGGGACCTCTACTGTCCTCCCACCTGGGGAGGGGTCAGTTGGTGACAGGGTTAGGGGAGGGCTGGGACCCTCCACTGTCCTCACATCCGGGTGGTGGGGGCCTGGCCATGCTGCCCCAGCCCCAATCCTGGGCACCTGGCCGCAATGGGAACATTTCCTGGCCACGGCCTCCCTGGTGCACATCTGCAGGAGCTGTCCTGGCACTGCGTTCCAACTGCATTTCTTCAAAACCACAAAGTACAGGTTCTCAGAATGAACAGATCTTCAAGAAATAATTTCACAACTCCTCCTTCTTTTTAAAAAAATTTCAACTTGTAATGGTAAAATATTCCAGTAAATGCCATAAGTAATCAAACGGACACTGTGTACCCCTCACCACCCAGCTTGGGACTACGCTGCCTTGAACCCTCTCTCCTGGAAAGCTGACCGGCATCACTGCTGCGGCTCCAGCTTTCTCCGGGCCCGGGTGTGGCGGGCAAAGGCCACCTCCACCACGCTTGCTCTGTGTTGCCACTTCACACATGGGCATTCATGGTCACATGTGGGCATCCATGATCACACACGCGTGCATCTGTGAAAAGGGTGCATTTCCAGTGATGTCTGTATCACTGCATGTCACTGACATAGACACCCTTTGTATTCTATTCTCTCTCGACACATATTTTCTGAAATGTACCTGGATAAAAACACAAATCTGGTAAGCTTCTCAACTCCTTTTTTTTTTTTTTAAGATGGAGGCCCTGCCTTTCATCCAGACTGGAGGGCAGTGGCACTATCTCGGCTCACTGCAACCTCTGCCTCCTGGGTTCAAGTGATTCTTCTGCCTCAGCCTCCTGAGCAGTTGGGACTACAGGCGCACACCACCATGCCTGGCTAATTTTTATATTTTTAGTAGAGACGGGGTTTCACCATGTTAGTCAGGCTGGTCTCGAACTCCTGACCTCGTGATCTGCCTGCTGGGATTACAGGCATGAGCCACTGTGCCCGGCCTGCTCCATTCCTCCTTTATGGCTGCCTAGCATTCTTTTTTTTTTTTTTTCAGAGATGGGGGTCTCATTTTGCTGCCCAGGTTGGAGTGCAGGGGTGGGATCACAGTTCACTGTAGCCTTGAACTCCTGGGCTTAAGGTACCCTCTCGCCTGAGCCTCCCGAGTAGCTGGGACTACAGGTCCCTGCCGCCACACTTGCCTATTTTTTTTTTTAATAGATGGATCTCACTAAGTTGCCCAGGCTAGTCTCCAACTCCTGGCCTCAAGTGATCCTCCTACCTTGGCCTCCCAAAGTGCTGGGATTACAGGCATGAGCAGCTGCACCTGCCCCACCTGGCATTCTCTATATGAACACCCTTGTTCCTTTACCTGTTCCTGCCCAGATGGGCATTTCCAGTGCTTCTGGCTCCTGCCATCACAAGCTGGGCCATGATGGACATGACAGGCTCCCCATGAAGAAAGGGGGAAGGTGAATGTGGCTGCACCCCAATGATTTGAGCCTCACATTCCACTCTCGGGCTTCTACTGGAGCCTGAGCAAAAGCAGTGGTTGGCTGAAACCTTTTCCGGGAGGTTTCAGTCTCCAGACAGGGCTGTTCAGTCCTCGGTATCAATGAAAACTGGCTTTCCACATATCCAGGTGCCTGGGCCTGGCCCTGTTCAGAGCACCCACTCCTGGAGTGTCTAAGTTTTTTTGTTTGTTTTTTGTTTTGTTGAGACAGAGTCTCACTCCCAGGCTGGAGTGTAGTGGTGTGATCTCAGCTCACCACAACCCCCACTTCCTGGGTTCGAGTAATTCTCCTGCCACAGCACCCCTGCCCCGCTCCCGAGTAGCTGGGATTATAGGCATGCACCACCATGCCCTGCTAATTTTTGTATTTTTAGTAGAGACAGGGTTTTTCCATGTTGGCCAGGATGGTCTCGAACTCCCGACCTCAGGTGATCCACCCGCCTGGGCCTCCCAAAGTGATCCAAGCATGATCCACTGCCCCCAGCCAGAGCGTCTTTTAAATGGCCTCACTGTGTCTGTCTGTTGGCCACACAGGTGTCCCTCAGCTCCCCATGTGTGAGCCTGCAGAGAAGCCCAGTCCCCAACTCTGAACAGCAGAGTCCAGAGAGCCCAGCCTCGTCTACCAAAAAGGTCTGGGGGCACCATTTTTCTTCAGAAGAAACTTTAATACCCCAATGTTGCCAGCTCATCGCCGACAAAGGCCTGAACACAGGCGTCTCCTGGCAACGGCCCCGAGCTGCAGTCAGCTCTGCCCACGCCCCCACCACACGGCTTCACCCTCCTTTTCCACCGTCTGCCCCTTCCACACAAAACCCCAAGCCTTTCTCTCTCAGCACTTAATGGTATTAAAAGGCCCTGGCCTCTTCTGTCTGTAAAAAGAAAAACAGTTTTCTCTTCTAATCCAGCAGCCACTCTGGGAGGTAAAGTGAAGCAGCTGGCTCTGATTTTAAATCATCTCACATGTGGGTTGCCCCCCCCGCCGCCCCACCACACTCCATCAACAAACATAGCTTCTGCATCAGGGACTGTACTGGGTTTTGGGGACATAGAAAGCCCCCCAGCACTCAGGCCTGGTGAGAGAAACAAAATCATGAAGACATTCCAGCCAGCCCTTCCTGCGGGGGCCGAGGGCAGAGCCCCTGGTCTGTCTCTTGCTCCATCATCACCCGCCCCATGAGGTCAGAACTGCTGTTCTGCCCACTTTCCAGATAAGGAAACAAGACACAAAGTAACTTCAGTCAAGGTCAAGAAGCCAGAAAGAGGTGAAGCCAGGCTCAAGCCGCTATCATCAGCGCTCCTGGATAGTCTGGATCCCCTGGGTGCACAGCCTTTCTCCAAGCAGAGCACATGCCTCCCTCTCATCCATCCCTCCCTCTCTGTCTCACTCCCTTCCTCTCTCTGTCTCTCTCTCCATCTGTCTGGCACACTCTCTCTCTCTGTGCCCTGGACTGGTCTCTAAGCTGAGGGTTGAGAACCTGAGTGTCTGGGATGGACACCCCAGCCCTCTTTGGGCAGGCACCCAGTAAGGAGCCCCTGCTATTTGGGCCAGGGCCAGCCGGCAGTGCTGGGTCAGGATGGTCTCCAGGAAATGGCCCATCTTGGGTCCCAGTCCCACCCGGCCTGTGGCTCAGAAATCACAACCCTTTGAAAGCCCCCACCCACACCATTCCAAGTCCCGATGCCTCCCCTCCTGTAACACCTCAGTTCCTGTGCTTCTCACTCTGCAGATGATGGCTTCTGCCTCCCACAGCTGACTCCCTGCCTCCCACAGCTGACTGAGCTCTGAGACAGTGACCACATGTTCACTGTAGGCTGCAGTGCCCAGCCCAGGTCTGACTCAGAAGGTCCTCAGCACAGTATGGATGGTTGAATGGGTGGATGGATGGGTGGGTGGATGAATGCATGAGTGAATGGACACATGGATGAACAGGTGGGTAAGTAGATGGGTGGGTGGGTGGATGGATGGATGGATGGATGGACAGGTGGGTGGATGAACAAGTGGGTGGATAAACAGGTGGGTGAGTGGATGGATGGATGAATGGATAGATGGATGGATGGATGGGTGGACAGACAGGTGGGGGGATGAACAGGTGGGTGAATGGATGGATGGGTGGACAGGTGGGTGAGTAGATAAATGGATGAATGGATAGATGGACGGATGGATGGATGGACAGATGGACAGGTGGGTGAGTAGATGAATGGATGGGTGGATGGATGGATGGATGGGTGGATGGATGGATGGATGGATGGATGGATGGACAGGTGGGTGAGTAGATGAATGGATGAATGGATAGATGGATGGATGGATGGGTGGACAGACAGGTGGGGGGATGAACAGGTGGGTGAGTGGATGGATGGATGGACAGGTGGGTGAGTAGATGAATGGATGGAT